CCCACCCTTTCCCCATCCTCACTCTGAAGTGTCACTTTTTTATTCGCTGCATGTTTTTTTTTTTTTCTTTTTCTTTTTTGGGTACCAGGGATTGAACTCAAGGGCACTTGACCACTGAGCCACATCTCCAGCCCTATTTTGTTTTTTATTTAGAGAGAGGATCTCATGGAGTTGCTTAGTGGCTCGATTTTGCTGAGGCTGGCTTTGAACTCGTGATCCTCCTGCCTCAGCCTCCCAAGCTGCTGGGATTACAGGCATGCACCACCACGCTCACCTACTGTTTATTTTTCTTTAGAGCTGGTTTTGTTAGGGCATTCATCTTTATGTGTTTCTGTCATATTGACCCGTTTTAATTTCAACCTATTGGTTAAAAACCTCAAGGAATTCGTGATTACAGTTGAATCATTTTCTACACGTCTTCATTCAGGTGATTTTCCAGCTTCCACACTGGCCCCAAAGGAGGAATTTATTGATACCAATACTCTTGCTTCCTTTTCTTCTGTTTAAGCAGGTGCATTTGGGGGCTATTTTCCTTAAGCACAAAAATATTGGAAGAAAAATTAAATGATCCACAAGGAAGTAATCTCCTGATGACTTTAGGTTGAACATGTAACTGGACCTGAAAGAGTCAAGCTGCAAATGAATATAAACAGAACAAAATCCACAGCTCACCAGTTGCTGTGGAGGAGGGATTTAGGCAAAAGGGGAATAATGATGTGGCAATGTAAGAAGTAAACACTGGCTAAAGGTCTTGGAGAGCAGACCTGGAACCGAAATTAACTCTTCCTAACCTTGTTTCCTCCCCTTGGCCCATGAGTTTATGTTGAATTGCAAACAGCCCATGAAATCCTTTGGAGACTTTGATCTTTGATAAGCAATCTAAAGATTGAAAGATTATATTTTCTCTCTAATTAAATCTTCCTCTAACCTTGAACGGGGTGCCTGCAAGGTGAGTAGGCGAGACCCAACTAGCTGTGCCAGGAAGGCTGGGAGAGGACTGGTCCTTCTAAGGAGAGGTCTCCATGATTGTGATTTGCTGCTAGAGTGGCTGAAACAAAGGTTCTGCATTCACATGGGAAAGCAGAGAGAGGGTGAAACATGCTGATGTCAATGCGCAGG